TCATCGGTTACTACTACTTGTACGTTCAGTAGATCTGCAGACTCTTTTATCTTCTTGATAATGTATTGTTTCTGAACTGGGTTCAAGTCTCTTAAAGGGCGTAAGAGATCCATAGTAAGAAAATCTACATTATTAGATTGTATATTTCCTTTATATATCCTCCATTTCAATGATTTTATAGCATTTTCTATAACACTAAGAGTACGCGATTCATTTTGACTAGTTGAATCTGTTCCAGTATATTTTTCTTTTTCTTCTTTTAGTGCTTCTTTCTCATGCTCCAATTTAATAATTGCATCTTGTACTTTTCGCTTTAAACCTTCATAAATACTCATGTAGTCTCTATTGAAATTACTTAAGTCGCTTTTTATCTTTAGCACCTTTTGCTCACCTACTTTACCCAAAATATCAGTATTAGTTGCCATATAGTCTAATGCTTTAATCATACATTTCTGCACTTCTTTTTCATTTAGAATTTTTGGGCTATTCTCGATAATAGAAAGGAATACTCTCATATCTCCTTCAGAGGGAAATAATCCATTCAACTGATTAATTATAGACTGCTTTTGAGCTTCATCGTCATTTGCTTCTTTAGCCTTTTCAACTAAGTCTCGAATTTCAAAATATTTTTTGTGAATAAGATCCAGACCGTAGTCAACCAGTGACATATTGGTTTTTTCATCTTTTTTAGTGTATAGATCCTCAAGAGTATAGCAATCTTGTATGGACACAAAGTCTTTCAAAAGAAGAATATTCTTAAATCTTACATAATAAGATGCTATTCTCAAGTTATCTCTGTTCAAAGTCTCTTCGGTGAAGTCAGCTATTCTTTTCAAGTCAGGAAGCTTTGCATCATCAATCTCTAGAGTGTATGTTCTAGTGCCTAGATTGTTTTTGTCTGTGCCATCATTTATTTTTATAAACTTTACTCCTTCATTTTTTCTATTCATTCCATGATCTGGATTGTATATAAATTTATTTGAATTTATAAGTTCATTGACTAAAGAAATGGCACGTGTTCTAATTAGGTCATCGTATTTATTCTCTAGCTCATCACGCAACTCAAACATAACTCGAGACGCTTCAAATCCATGGTATAAAAAATAATAATAAATGTCATTCTCAAGTATGCTTAAGATGTGTTGATTTTCTTCATCGCTGTATGGACTGTTCTCTATTTTTAGATTGTCTTTAAGTATGCACTTAAGAATGGCCAAATGGCTTAGTTTGTCGTCGTATTTAACAACTTCTTTCATATCTTCCATGCTGTTGATGTCTCTGCATTTTTGCACTATTCCTTCAACATTGATTATTAGTTTAACTTCTCTCCTGGTCATTGTAAAAATTTTAATAGAAAAAAAATAATTTAAGGATCAGGGGCTTCCCAAGGCGGAAATATTTTATTTTTATTGTATGCACTAGCAATAAAGAAGTATTAATGTTCTTGTTTTCTGTTCTGCACATAGAGCACTTAGATAGTAGATAACTTATATGGAAGATGGGCTGGTTCTAAAGGTTTAAACAATAAACAGTACTGTACAAAAAACACTATATAATCTGTACTCTTTTCTTTTCTTTTAAGGATTAACAAATAATAGACACAAGGGTCTAATAATACACAGCAGAAAGACAGATTGGAAGATCGTCATGAGAGCAGCTATAATAGCATATCTACAAATTACCTGGCAAGAATGTCCCCTAAAATGCATGGAAGAGTAAGGTAGCAACTGAAAATTATAAATAAAAAAATGATATTTTTAGCATGAAAAATCCAAAAAAAGAGAAAATATTAGGTGTGGTATGCATAGCGCTGATTCTCTTTATCGCAGAGAGCAGAAGCAGCTGGAATGTCTTCAATGGAGAGATGCCAAGCAATGCAAGTCTATACACGGGAGAAAGTAACGCAGCTAACGAAAGAGCAGGTCAGATCAGTCAGGGACGTCTGTTTATACCAGAGTTTATACCAGAATCTAGTGTTCTTGGATATCCCTTAAATCTTGCATATAATATGCCTGGCACAGCAAGAGAGGAAGTCGGCATAGATCACACAGGATTCTCTATTGCTAATATGGGCGCGCGCGGTTTAGTCCACAATGAGTACAGTCCTTTTGGAGGACAGCAGAGAACAGAAGAACGCTCTAGAGAACAGAAGAGCACAGCACAGTATAGTATAGGTGCGGATAAACCTAGAGAACAAAGAAACCGTGTTGTAATGGCTGTGGGAGAAAAAAGAAAAGCAAGCGAAACAGATGACTCCATGGATGCACTTGCTCTTCAATCTACACAAAAAAATAAAAAAGAAAGAAGAGAAGATGCACTAGAAGAAATGGCTGACACAGCCTCTGAGGAGCAAGCAATTGAAAGTGCAGAAGGAGACGAAGAAATTCTGGTTCAGAATAGACAGCTCAAGACAGCTAAGCACATACTAGAAAAAAATAAAAAAGCATCAGATCGTATGGTAAAGCTGTGGAACAGCAATCGACTAATCAATACAAGGAGAGCAGGGTACAAATCGCACCACAGAACAGTGTACAAATACGAAAATGGCGGCTTTGATGCTTCTATGGACTCAGAAATGTCAGAAATAGTGTCCAGGGCGTACCAGAGAAGACTCAAAAAAGACATAGAAAATTTCTGCACCAATGTTGCTTTTCTGATAGAGAAGAATCCGCTGTGGTACTTCATTGCAAATAGAACAACAAACATAACCACAAAGTACAAAGAGCTTTTAGGGCTAAGGAACTTTCTTAGGGTCGAGAAGGATGGCAAGTACAGAGAAATGCTGGTGAGCCTTAGAGGGTACTATCCCAACGTGTTTGAGGACATGCTAGCATATGCAGAAAAGCACAAGCCGCTGCGGGCTATTTATGAGTCTCCTTCAAGCGTGTGGAATGAGACTTTGGGAGATATCTATGTCCAGAAAGACCTCGAAATAAAGTACAGCGTATTAGAGGACCAGGACAAGATCTGCGAGATAGATGATGGGAGGTACACTGCGCTGGCGTATGCTCTGCGCATGATTCTGGCCCTGCCTGAGGTAAACCAAGACTTTTCCAGCATCAATGCAAGGTTTATAAAAGATACAAGGATATCAGAAACATCATCGTTTAAAAACAGACAGTCTCACCAAGTTCTGCTAGCTATACACACGTTAATAAATGAAGCGGGAGGCGAAAATGAAGAAACAGAAAAAGAGTATGAGCACATTTACAACGCTCTGGAGAACATACACGACAAAACTATACGGAAAGAATCAGCTGTCTCTGAGCTGTACAAGGACATATACATGGTTCTTGCAGATTTTTATGAGAAGGCGAAAATATTTGATGATGACAGATACGTTTTAGCTGGCAAGTGCGCTATAAAGCACCAGAAGTATGTCAAATGCGAGGCGTTCTTAAGAATAGCAACATGCGATGGTAAGTCTCGTATACAAAGCTGCCACTTTACCCATTCATTTGAGACGAACAGATGGGACATTTCGCCTAATATAGGACCACACTACCACGTGTACTACGTGGACAACACAACGCACCGATCCAGAGCGCTGTGCATGCCGATGTGCATAGACATGCACGGAAAAGAGCACTATTTACACACAGTTAGCGACATAGTGAAGTATATAAAGATACTATACAGGATAGAGGGAAACTTGAACCATCTGTGCCCTTTTAAAGTAAACAAGGAAACAAAAAAGTGGTCGTACATCAAAGAAGATGCCAGGGACATGACAATGAAAGACCTAGCGAATTATGAGGTGGTGTTCTACCGCATAGAGGGAGACTTGACAGCAGAGAAGTTTACTTTTGCAGAGTTTGTGCCTTCACTACACTATGAAAGCGACAATATCTCCATCCCTCTGTTCCTTACTCCTCTGATGCGATCAGCTGTGGAGATCGGGCCTTTTAACATGATAGATGTGCACAGAGAGATAGACTCCATCGAGTTTGTGAGCAAAGAGCCTGACATGTACGAGTACAATAGTGACTACAGAGGCGAAGAGTACTCAAACATGCATGCATACTACAGCAATCTGTACATAGTGTCTGACGAAGAAAGAAAAAGCTCTCTTGACTGCTATGCCATGAACTATCTGGTAACTCCGCAAGAAAGTGGCAAAATGCACATTGTGTGGTATGTGGATATGGCGAACAGGGAAAATGTGTACGCACACTGTCTGCTAGATGGAACTTTCAAGAAAAAAGAAAACTCAAAAAAGCTCAAGAACTTTATTGATGCAGTAGAGTCAAGGGAGCACAGCAGGGACAGCAAGCTACAGAGCATTTGGCTGAAAGGTAGCAGTGTGGCAGACAGAGCACCAAAAGACAAGACGGAAAAAGTGTGTATATGGCAAATAGGCCCTGAAGAAGGGAAATACGAGGTTAAAAGGAAGAAAAAGGATCCGGAAGTAATAAGGAGAAAGATAAAAAAAGTGGAAGAAAAGTTCAAGAAAGCAGAAAGAGAGCAGGCAGGCATGAAAGAGCTGTGCAGAGAAAACGGAAAATTGAAGAAGGAAAACGAAAGAAAAATAGCCAACATCACAATTTCAAAGTGCAGAGCAAAGAAGGAGCTTGAGATCTTGTACAGAGAACTGCACGAATCAATCTCTGAAAAGCCAAACGAGCAGCTGGAGCTCATAGTGTTCCGCAACGTGAACAGCAGCAAGTCCAATCTGGGAGCACACAACGAGATTCTTGATGTGTTTATCTCAGCGTACAACTCCTAGAGAAGACTTGTGGAGAATAAAAAGAACTCATTTGAACTGCGCGCATTGTTCTTCTTTTGTCTATCATTTTAATGTGGTATATAAATGCTCTTTATACCAGCTGATGTACTAGCAATTTTCTATTGGGATAGATATAGAATCTTTTACTTTCTCAAAGGAGCTATCATAGTTACTACTCCTTCTTTATATCCTGTGTATGTTTTTGCTTGATTGCTGTGCTGTAGATAAAGTGTACACTTGGAATACAAACAAAAGTGAAATAAAATAAAAAATACTAAGTGTATGCGAATATGTAGAATTTTACTTTTTACTTTACTTTTTATTGCCAATAGTAGACTGTTCAAAGAAAGTGTACACTTAGTTAATAGCAGCAGTAAAGATATTATAAAGGAGTTCTTGTTGAACCATACCATAAGAAGACACAGAAGATAATGATGCTCATCTGAATACTTGCAATGTTTAAGAGTGGTATGATTTATTTAGAATGCTGGTTGCTGTTAGGCTTGGTTCTCACATTTCTCTGTGTTTTTTGATTGGCGGCTGTTCATAGCACGGCTGGTCTTCACAGTTCAGTATGTTGTCAACGTCAGCAGGGCTCATTGCTTCAATTGCAGTGGGAGCGAGCAAAGTTGTTGCTATTTTCATGACAGCAGCACAAGACAGGAACGTTTTGAACAGATTTTCTCTGGTGAGTTTTGTCGGGAGGGGGCTTCTTTCTTTAGGGGCTTCTACTTCCAGCACTTGGTGTTCTTCAGGCTTCTTTACTTCTCCTGAGGCCACTTCTACTTTCATGCCCTTTGCTTTTCCAAGCTCTTCTATCTTTTTGATTATGTATTGCTTCTGAACAGAGATTATCCTAGGCAGTATCTCTGAGTTAGACAGGAGTGTACTTATGAGATTTGAATAAACATTCTCTCTTATTACCGCGCTCATTACAAACTCCCCATTATTTTTTATACTGTCAATCTCACATTCCAGTCTTTTCATCTCTTTTTTTAGTCGCTGGTACTCTAGAAAGTTGGACTCGTTTATGGCTCCCAGCTTTTCAAATCTTTCTTTCTGCTCGCTGTATTCTGCGTTTTTTAGACCGATGGAGTCGAAATTCTTTCTACTTTCTTTCGTAAGCTCTTTTCTCTTCTTCATTACTGTTTCTTCCAAGCCTTTTTGGCTGGTTACGTATTTGCTGTTGAAATCGCTTAGATCAGCGTTTATTCTCAGAGCGCTGGACCTATCCTTTCCTTTGAAGAGCTCAGTGTTATCCACCATGTATTCTATCGCTTTAAGCATGGAGTCCTGCACTCTTTTCTCGTATCTAATCGCCCCTAGATTCTCAGTAATAGAGATGACGAGTTTTAGCTCTTCTTTTTTGAGCACACTGGTAATTTCTCTTTGCAAATTCTTTGTGTCGCAGTTAGGCATTTTTTCGATTCGCTTAACCAGATCAACTAGATGTTCAATGGCAGCGTATTTGTCGCGAATGAGCCTCAGGCCATGGTCTATCAACAGCACGTCTGTATTTTCATGTCTATCGCTGTACAGCTGGTCCAAAGTGTAGGGTGTTTCTACGGGCATGTGATTTTTCAAAATTTCTATACCCATCATCTGCATTGAAATAGAGAAATTAAAGAAAAGCTCTCTATCCAGACTCTCCGATGCAAACCGAGCTGCATTTTCCAAGCCTGAGAACTTTGTGTCGTCAATCTGCAGCGTGCATGTTCTAGTTCTTAGGTCTCCTCCACCGAATTTTATAAGCTCTACTTTTTCACCTTCGCCTGTCTGTCTATGTATTCCGTGGCCTGGGCTGTATATTTGCAAATTTGGCTGTATAATTTCGTTAGCTAAACAAATAGCATGCGCCTCAATCATTTTGTCATTTTTGCTCTCCAGTACTTCGTGCAATTTTTCTACGCTACTACATCCAAAACGGGTGAATAGGAGGTATTGGCATATGTTGTTCTCAATCATGCTCAAAACCTCCTGTTTTTCTTTTTTGCTAAGGTGCTCGCTTTCTATTTCCAGGTTTTTCTCAAGTATGGCTTTCAGTAGAGTGTGATATTTTACTCTATCGCTGGACATATAGCTCATATCGTAAATTCTGCTAGCAATTCTGCACGACTGCACTATTCTTTCCGCGTTTATCTTCAACTTAGCCTCTTTCATTCCTGTTGTAAAAGTTTTAATTGCAGGAAATAATTTAAAAGGGTAAGGGCTTCCCAAGACAGCAAAATTTTATTTTATTTTTATTACACATTACTGCATTCAACTAGAGAAGAGCGAAGTACAGCCAAATGATTAAAGTTAAAAGATAGTAAAAAGTTTGCTGCACCAAAGACATAAAAGACATAATAGTAGACATGCTCAAACCTAAAACTAATTTATTTTGATATTAGCTGGACAGGGCCAGATAGCTCAAGATATATTATGTTTATCCATGTTTCGTAGTTGCCTGCTGTCCATGACATGATACAAACTATCGTTGTCACTGTTTGCAGCAGTTGTTGGCTTGCTCTTCAAATGCTGTTTGACATATGCCATTGATCCGAGCACAAGAAGGCCTCCAGCTAATACTTTTCCAAGGGTGCTTGTCCGGGCTGATGCACCCACTGAGCTAGATTCTGTTTCATCGGACATGTCAAGTGTTTGGTGCTGCTCAGCTGGCTCATCCACTTCCATTTTTTCTGCTTCTTCTGGCTCGTCTGTTTTATTTCTTATTAGTTTTATATTTAGTGATTTTTCAAATTCTTTTATTTTCTTGAGCAAGTATTGCTGCTGGCCTGGAGCTATGCAATTTAGCTTTTTCAAGCTGTCCAAAAGCTTACTATCTGTATAGCTTTGTAGCTGGGCGTGCTTACATTTCAAGAGATATATACTATTTTCTAGCCTGCGAATCGAATGGTATATATTTTTCATCTCTTTTTCTTTCATCTGTGCATTCGCTTTGTTACGGTCTAGCTTTTCCTGTTCTTGGATTTCTTTTTCCATCGCTGTTCTTTCTTCCATTCTTTTGCTTAGCCTGTTATAGTTTAGCATTCCCTGTCCTAGAACATCTTTTTCTATTAATATTTCTTCCATTTGTGCATTCATTTCGTTATAGTTCAGTTTCTTCTGCCCTAGAATTTCTCTCTCAACTGCTAGCTCTTTTATTTTTTT